TCGATCCTCCCGCGGGGCAATCTTTTTTCAATATATAGTCTTTTAATACCTTAAGCAATTCAGAAAACCGAGCATTAGTGTTTGAACCATGACAACCATTTCAATGCTAATAATTTCCGTCATTTTAATTCGATACAAAAAGGGAAATGCATACCGTGTAATGCGAAATCCGATGCATGTGTTCATAATTGTAATGAGCAGTAGAGTATAATTCAAATAAAATGCCCTTGAACACTTGAAAAGTTTTAGAAATGATTGAAATTACGAAACTCTTTTACGTTGACATTATTTAAAAACTCCGAGTGTCCTGCATTCTCTCAAATTACATTTTAGACTTAAAATTACTTCAACTGCGAACTGTCCCTGTCTTCGCTGTAATAACAAGAAAAAGTATGTCGAACAGTTAAATTGCTCTTAGAATATTGGCATCCTCTAAACGCTATATCTATTGTCATACATTTATAGACAGAAAGTTAACCGTTTTCGAGCGAAAAATAAATAATTCCGGATTCTCTCAATCCTTTCATTTGAACTTCCATTTAATACTATATTTTTATTTGCAGAAACAAAAAGAAATCGAGGCGGTGTGAAAATCGTGGAATTCCTGTGCCTGGTTGTAATTTCCACAATTTTAAATAGCATCCGAAGTCACTCGTTCAAAATGATTCGTTGTAAAATAATGTGTTTGATCAGATATTGAAACATTGGTACAGAGTTATTTGAAGGTAATCGTTTGACAATTAAAAATGTTCCCTTGATCTTTACCGAATCGAGAGTCTTTTAACAACTATTCAAATGTTGATCAGCATATGCGTAAACTCACAGAGATAGATAATCTGCTCTACAACAAAATTGATATCAGAAACGATTACTTCGGCTCCCATGTGGTCTAGTGGTTAGGATTCCTGGCTCTCACCCAGGCGGCCCGGGTTCAATTCCCGGCATGGGAAGTTTGGGCTCCATGGTGTGACGCTTAATACTCTGAATCCAGCATTCCGAGTTCAAATGTCGGTGAAGCCTTAATTTTTATTTGAGCCTACTCGTGTTCCAAGTACTTGAAACGGAGGACCATGTCCAGAATTCACATTTGTTTTTCCATGTTTATTAGGCAAATGTTTCATACACTAATTCATCGATTCTGTAAAAGAGTGTTTTGAAACAAGAATATTCCTTTAAAATCGGGAGACTTATTACCTATTATACTTGCGTACTTTCAGTAATGAACGAGACAATCTTATATTCAGGAGAGCAGATGAATAAATTATAGATTTGGAACATTTTAAACGGATCGTTAAAAGTCTTTATTCACGCCAGAGTTCGATGGAATAAAACATTCAACAACACTATCAACGTCTTAATATTCCTTTATCCGTGTAATATCTGCTGTATTTCTCGACAGCATAACAAACACTTACGAAGAGCAGGAATTTTATTGAAACACTAAAATGTCACACAAATTTATCCTTGGAAATTGTCAACGAAATTTCAGTTCCCAGTAAGCCAATTCCCTATCGCGAGGGCTTCGGTATCGTGGTAGGCAGCACGTGATATAAATTAAGTGCTGTCTAAAGTTCGAGAGGTCGATCCTCCCCCATCAAATTCTTGTTGATTGTTCGACCTTCCAGTTTATCAGGCATTTCAGAAAGGAGACAAACTTTTCGGATTTTCAAAAAACAGTAGTATTTCCAGTAATTTCAAATGTACATCAGAAGAACGAAGTAATAATTTCCAGCACCTGTAAATTGCAAGTGTAAATAAAACCCGGAAGAAAAATCGACAAATGATAATCAAAAGAAACCTAATTCAGTACATATGCATTTTCAAAAAAATTGTGAACTTTAAGAAAATTTCGTTTCCAAGGCCATTGTTAAATAAATAAAAGTGTGGATTACTTCGCATCAAGCGAGTCCCATGTGGTCTAGTGGTTAGGATTCCTGGCTTTCACCCAGGCGGCCCGGGTTCGATTCCCGGCATGGGAAATTAATTTTCCCTTTTGTAACTGTGATTAATCTGGACTTTGAATCCGGCGATCCAAGTTCAAATCTCTGTGGGACCTTTCATTTTATACTTTATACAATAAGTTTAAATGTTTTGTTTCGTTGGCCACGTGTGTTCTGATTTCATGGACATTTCAACTAGTTTTAAGAGTTACTTATTTCGTTCCGATTCATTGATACTCTAAAAAAGGCTTTTAATTAACATACACTAACGTCGATGAATCACATTTCCCGTCGATTAATTAATAAATATGGAAGCGTTTACTAGAGGAACATTTGAGCACTTCTTAAAGATTACACCAAAATAAGTGCAGTTTCAGAACATTTCGATTGGAGCTTCCAAACTTTAAAATGATTTTTAAGTTTCACGGTAAAACAATATGCTCTGACTAAATTACACGGTAGCGTGTTTAATCAGATTCCCGGATAATATCTTTAATGTTTCTTTTGATTAAACACACCTCGACAAAAGGAGAGGTAAACAGTAAGGTGGGCTGTCCAGCACAACCCTTGAACTCCATTTAAAAGCGATTTTAATATAACAAATATAAATGAAACCCGACCATACTATGTTTGTTAGCACGTTAATATGTCAGATAAATAGTTAGCGTCAACTAGATTTCAGTTGTCAGTAACCAATTTCTCATTCCGCAAGCCTCGGTAGCGCTGTAGACTGCGCGTCAGTCTCTTAATCTCTAGTCAGATGCATCTGAAGGTCGTGAAGTCGATCCTCCCGCGGGGCAATCTTTTTTCAATATATAGTCTTTTAAT